CAGAAAAATCTACTTGAGTACAGTAACGAAGTATTTGTACTTCGTTACTTCTCATCTCTGACCATGACATATACTAATCAGAATTCAGCCACCTTTACTCTGATACTCCCAAATAAAAAAACAATCCAAGAAGTTGCCTTTAGTTATAATTTCATTTCATTACCAAAAAGTTGCTCTGTGAAGTCCTCTGAGGTTAGTGAGACATTATTAGTGAATAAAAAGCTCAAAAAAGTTAGGGAGAAAGATGAGGTGTTTGAATCAGCGTGAGGGGATAAATAAAAATGTCACAGAGCACCACATCTTATATGTACTGCTGCTTGATCAGTGTCTTTTTATAAATAATCACATTAGATGCAGCTCAGACTTTCATAACTGCCAGACTGATTTAGTAGATTCAGTTTTACAAATAAGCCCTATTCCTGATGCTTTTTCCCCCCCAACTCAGACCAGACAGACCCAAAGCACGTGCAGTCAATGTCATGTTGACTGAATAGCTGCTGTTTTCTTGTTGGGAAATCTGCATATTTTCCAATAAGAACTTTCTATATGTTTTTTTTTTTTTTTTTATTAAAAATAGAAGAGAGTCAGGGAAACATAATAATTTTACATGGATGTCATGGCTTTAAAGTTCAAAATAACTTCTTATATCTAGCATTTAGGCTGAAACCGACTAGGAACTGTACCTGGAAGAAATTTAGAACCTAAATAGGTTTGATATATAATTCAAATTAAATGAAACCCCACTTAAGACCAAACTATTCAATAGGAAGGTTGCAGTGAATGAAGATATGTTACGATGGCTTGCCATATACAGGATGTAGTACACTCTGTTACCTTAAAATACTACAAGGTGGAGGACAAACTGCTGACAGAACATACCGGACTCTACCATAAATAGTTAAATAAGTACAAAGGTATTACTATCAAAATACACCAGGTAAAGATGAATAAAGAGTAGACTGTATAAAGCAATTCTCAGCGTCTCATCTAGAATCACATTTTAAATAAAATGTAAATTTAAAGGATCACCGACATAAAATGTTTTATTAATTACCATTTGCAATGAAAATACTTTCCTTTAAAACTATACACAAATGGAAGTAGTAATTTCCATAAAAATAAAGCAAACATTAGGGCAAATTAAACTTATTTAATAAAAATGTCAGCTTTTAAAGGTAGTTTCATCATACAGTATTAATTAGGGTCAAAAGAAAAAACACAAAAAAAAAATAACCAAACACTTTTTGGTTTGTTAAAAGTAAACATTTTAATGTTTGATTCCTTCAACTGTAATTCATTGTATTATCCATTTGTGTTGAAGGATTAAAACATTTCATTTTCTTGGGTCTTTACAGTTATAACGTTTAAATTTTAACGTCAGGAGTTAAAAAGCATCTTTCAGTATTATTCATGAGAAAAGGCTGCGGCACAGTGTGAAATTAATGCAGTAAAAAACTGCAAAATGAGCCAAAATAAATATTTAACATCAAAGGCACATGTTTTTACACAAAACTAGTCATAAATTGGTGCAATTTATAATTAATACTTTCAGATAAAAATAATACATTTTTTTCTTCAAGAGTCTCAGTTTTAGTCTCTGGGATGAAGTTTATTTTTCCTGCTTTTTCAGCACAGCATTGTTTCCATGTGTAGCTTCACCAGCGGTTTCCAAAAGACGACTCCCCTGACCCAAAGTTCCTGTTTTTCAAGTAGCGCTTGACCTCCTCCAGCTCGGACGGCCCAAGGCTCTGGTCCACCCCCGGCGTGGGCTCGTAGCTCAGAGGTGAGACGATGTAGCCGTTACGATAGAGGCAAACCTGCTTGCACATCTCACAGCAGGTGAAAAGAAGGCCGAAGTAGGGAACGATCTGTGAATGAATGAGAGGTTGGAGGTAGATTAATCCTTTCCTGTTTCAGCAACAAGAAATTTGAAATAAATGACCTCCAAGATGTGACTTTAAGATTAAATGATTGTTTCTTTACAGTCGAAATGGTCTTATGTTAAATTAGATCATCATGTGAGAGACAATGTTCATCTCTAAAGATATATGCAGCTGAAACCGGACACTGGGGCATGCTGTTCAACCCTGCTCATGGTATTCTTGCAGGGGGCACCCACTGCGTCACCTTCCTGGTCCTGCCCACATTCTCTCCTTTACGTAGATCATGAGTTTCCAATCTATCCTTTGGCATTTGTGCTGATTTGTAACACAAGATCAGGTTGACCCGAACTTCAAACCATTTGAATGAACCCAGCATAGATGTTACAATAAAAAATCTGAAGTTACCTTTATTGTGTTTGCTGTTAGTCCATTCCACAGAGACAGGACGCCCTTGCTTCTAACAACCTGCATGAAACAGTCCATCATTCCAGTGAAGTGGACATCAACGCCACCGAAATGGGGAAGACGGGGACTCTGTGCCTATGAAAAGAAAGAAAGGGGAATGACAGGAAATGTGGTGAAAAACTAGAAATATCTGGAAGAACTTGCAATTAAAAAAACATTTCCTGGAGTTGTTACACATGAAAGTTGGATATTCTCTATTTGAGATATATTTATGCCATTTAACGCAAAAAAGCAGCGTTGGTTATAATATGCTTAGGTACTAAAACAGAAAATAGCACAAAAAAAGGTATAAAAATCTTAAACAACCTCCTCCACTATCATTGGTAACCCTGATGTCTAAAAAAAATACAGGCTTAAATTAGTATTTCAATCAATTTTCACATTCATTTATAAATGGATAAGTCCCAAGAACAAGGTTAATTTTCAGATATATGAGATTAAGTTTAACATTCAAACATAAAAAATCACTAAAAATTATTATTGAGCAAGACCTCACAGTTTCATGAAAAAAAAATATAATGCATGACTTTCTAGTTGGTTTTGTTTGAGTTTTAATCTGAACTAACACCAGCAGGAGAACGTTACATTTTGCATGAGAAGCCTCTCTTACAATAATCAGTGTTACATTCAGATTGTATTGGAGCCACAAGGTTATCAAACATCCAAGGAAACTAAAGTTGCTGGGATTCAATGGGCCTTCAGTCAAACATCTTAATGGAAAGGCTTTATTTCCACGGGCACTCCTTATGACAGATATCCGCAAATCCCCAACACAGTATTTAAGCATAAAAAATGGATGGTCACATATATAAAAATAGCATTGGTAAATAATTGCTGTCTGAAACTTCTGTGATAAACTGAAAACTGATCCTTGAATCTAACATCATTACAGAGTCTTAAATGCCTGGCCTCACATCATCTCAATCTATCAATGATTTTAGCATACATCTAAAGAACAGAGCAGGGGAAGAAATCTGACAAATCATGCATAGATTATCTAAAAAGAAGCCTTGTTGTATTCATGTATTGACAGTATTCTTGAGCAGTTGGATTTTTGCTAGTTTGGCTTCCAATCCTTCACTGAGCATGTGTCTAGAAAAATTACATCTGTGTCCAGACCTGCATTTATCAAGCTATATTAAGTTTCTAAATAATCTGCCTGAGGCTATGACTAAGAAATACATGTAGCACTTTTCTTGACATTTTTTATTCATTTCAGAATATCAGGATATATCTTACTGACTTGAAAGTTTCTTTAGGATAAAACTTATAGTGGCTAACGTTATCCTGAGCTAGCTATAGCTATGTTTCTATAGGCTTAGACTGCTGGAGGACATAGGGATCCTTTTTTCTCCATTCAGCTTCATCCTTTCTCTATTCTCACATTTTGTGGTATTTGTTAGTTCATCTAACGTCATGTCCTCTCTGCTTTTTCTCATAGTAGCTTCATCTGGTCTCTTACTGTTTGGCTGTGACACCATCCTGGAGAGATATATCAGCTGTGCATCAACACCTTTATTTATAGATGTTGGAGCTTGGCCTGTTTTTCAGTGTAGTCCTATTTCTTTTACTGTGACTAACTGTACGTGCTCTATTTCATCCTCTGTCATGGGAGCTGGCTCAGAGGTTGTCTGCCTGGTTGTGTTTCCTGAATAGGGCCACCTATGGAGCTGGTTTACAGTTGCCTTTTGTATCTCTGCTTCTTTATCTATGTCTGCTCTTTCTCTTTGAACCCAAGTCGGCCTCAGAAGATGGCCGCTCACACTGAGCTTGGTTCTGCTGGAAGTTTCTTCTTGGTAAAAGGGAGTTTTCCTCTCTATTGTCGCTACAAGCATGCTTGGTGTGAGGGATTGCATTCAAGTCAATGAGTTGATGGATAGAAAACTTTGCACTATTATGGCTGTTTGATCTGGTTGAATCGACTCTGTAAAGTGCCTTGAAATGACATGTATTGTAAATTGGTGCTATATAAATAAACTCATCATTTATTTTTCAACAGGCCAATGAACCCAAACACACCTCCAGGCTGTGTATGGGGTCATTGTCCCCAGGCTGCCATTTGATAAAGAAGGAGACTGATAGGGTGCTGCGCCAGATGACCTGGCCTCCACAATCACCAGACCTGAACCCAATCGTGATGGTTTGGGGTGAGCTGGACCGCAGAGTGAAGGCAAAATGGCCAACAAGTGCCAAGCATCTCTAGGACTTCCTTCAAAACTGTTGGAATACAATTTCAGGTGACTACCTCTTGAAGCTCATCAAGAGAATGCCAAAGGTGTGTGA